GCCGGGGCCCCCCCAGCTCTGTGCGGCTGCGGGGGGGGGGACAGCAGTGACACCTCAGCCCCACAGGAGACCCCCGGCCCTGTATCCCCCCCCCACCGCCACCCCCAAAGCCCTACCTGTGCGCTGTGCGCTGCCGCAGCGTCCCCCCCCCCATCCTGGTTCTCCTCCTTGTCCCCCCCCCGCCATCGCCTCCTGCGGCTCCGCGTCCCCCCCCAGCACGGGGTCACCGCTGGGTGCCACCCCCGAGTGCTGCGACACCAGGATCTGGGGAGGGGGGGGGAGGTATGAGGGATGGGGGGGGGTTCAATCCCACTCCCCCCCCCCAAGAAGGGCACTCACCCCCATCTGCGCCCGCAGCAGCACCTGCCCCCCCCCGGCCAGTGGCAGCCACGTGTCCAGGGTCAGCGCCTCGGCTGCCAGCAGCTGGGACAGGGGGAGGCTGAGAGCGCCCAGCGCCTGCCCCCCCCCCGTCCTGCACCTGGGGGGGCAACGGGCAGCAAGGCGTGGGGCGGCCCCATAGGGCAGTACCCCACAGGGAGCCCCCACCTCCATCATAGGGCAGCCCCCATAGAGCAGCCCCCCCCCCCCTCCATCGGGCAACCCCCACCCCCATAGCAGCCCCCCATAGCGAAACTCCCCCCTAGGGCAGCCCTCCTCCTCCAATCAAACCCCATAGGGGATTCCCCCCCCCCCCCCTCCATAGGGAACCCCCTCTCTTCCCCATAGGGCAGAGCCGCCATAAGACAAACCCCACAAGGATCACTACCCATCGGGCAGCCCCTATTGAGCAGCCCCCCCCCCATAGAGAACCCCCCCCTCCCATAAGGCAGCCCCCCCCCCCCCCCCCCCCCCAGGACCTTCAGCTCCAGCGCCTCCCCATGCGGGCCGTTTGATGAGGAAGGAGAAGCCTTCATCCCACACCGGCTCTGTGCTCGGGGCGCAGGTCTGGGGGCGAAGCCATGGTGAGCCCCCCCACCCCGTGTGCCCCCCCCCCAAAAAAAAAGAAACCCACCCCTCATCCCGCTGTCCCACCTTGGTCTTAAAGGAGACGTCACGCACAGACAGGGCAGCAAAGGCAGCGGGGGGCTTGGAGCCCTTCCGGAGCTGGGACACAGCACGGGGGTCAGGTATGGGGGGGTCAGGGGGGCGCGGGGGGGGGGGCACGGCATGGGGGGGGTCGGGGGGCTCACCGGGAGCTCTGCAGCGCGGTCCAGGAATACGGAGAGGAGCGCGGCTGAGAGTTCCTCCCCACGGGAGGGCTGCAGGAGGCTGTTGGTGTGCAGAACCTGGGGGGGCACACGGGGGGGCAGAGGGGCCGAAAGGGACAGGGAAGGGGTGAGAAAGATGGTTGGGGGGGGGGGGGGGATGCTGGCGAGGGCTGGGGGGGTGATGGTGGAACAAACGTGCAGGTGGAAGGTGGGGACACATGGGGGGCATGGGGGAGGACATAAGGGGTGCATGGGGGGTACTGGGGGGATCCGGGGGGGGGGGGAATAAATGGGGGGGGAAACACGGGGAGATGCAACGGGGAAGAGACACCCAGGGATGAGGATGATGATGATGGGGACGACGACAGAGATGGGCACATGGAGGTGATGGGATGGGGCAGCCCAGGATCCCCCTTTGGGCCCCCTCCCCCCCCCCCCAAACCCCCCCCCTCCAAACCTGCTCCAGCAGCGCAGCGCTGGGCTGGGGCTGCAGCCTCTCCAACCTCACATGCAGGCGCCCGGATCGCACCTCCTCCAGGGGCAGCCACTGGGGGGGCAACAACGGGGGGGGGAGGAGGATGAGACCCCCACGGTGTGAACCCCCCCCCCAGCACACAGCCCCCCCTTTTACCTCATCCACGAATCCGCAGCTCAGCACCCGCCTGAGTGGCACTTTGCACCTGGAGGAGGCAGAGGTTTGGGTTGGGGGTTTCTCCCCACTGCTTCCCACCCCGCACCCCCCACCCCCCAAAAAAAAGCCCCCCCCCTTTACACCCACCGGCCCAGGAAATCATCCTTGTCCACATCCTTATCAAAGAGCTCAAACTCCACGTCCTGCCCAGGGATGTCGTCCACCACCACCTTGGGGGGGGAGCGGGGGTCATCACGGGGGTCCGCCCCACAACCTGGGGGGGTGGGGAGGGGGTGGTGCCGCCCCCCCCCCCCTTTGTACCTCGTAGATCTCATTCCAGCGGGGGCTCAGCTCCTCCCGGACGACTCGGCTGCGGAACAGCCGCCCCCCCGCCCTCACGGCCGCATAGGGGTCGGAGCGGCCCCTCATCAGCCCCCCCAGGAAGTTGTCCTTGGCAATCAGGTCCTCCGCTTCCAGGAGGTGGATGCGCAGCACAGCCTGGGAATTTCGGGGGGGGGGGGGAAGTCCTGCTGTGTGCCCCCCCCCCCATCTCTGACCCCAATTCCGACCCCAGCGCGGTGCCAGGATCCCATCCCAGAGCCCAGGGCTCCCAGCCCCAACTCCATCCTTCCGCACCCCCCCCCTCAACGACCCCCACCCCCGAGCTTCATCTTTTTCCTCCAAGTGCCCCCCCCCCCCCCCTCCCCCAATCCTGACCTGAGAACCCAAAACCCAGCCTGAGTTCCATCCTTATCCCACCCCTGGGACCCCCCAGCCCCGCGCCCCAGGACCCTATCCTAAGGCCCCCAGCCCCAACAGCATCCCAACCCCCCCTCCGGAGCCCCCCGCCACTGAGCTCCATCCTGACCCCAAAACCCCCCCCCGTTCTCCCCACACCTCGGTCCCAAACTGGGGGTCTGGGTTGGCTTTGCTGGGTCTGCGTGCGCCGCTGGTACCAGGGGGGGCCTCCAACTGCCCAGGGGGGGTCGGTGGGGGGGGACCAACCTCAGGGCCATCGAAGTACAGCACCTGCGCACGAGGTGGGTCAGCTGTGTTTCCCCAGCCCCACATTCACCCACAGCAGCAAGATGATGTGCAGGCGGCCGTGGGGTCCCTGAGCCCCCCCCCCAACCCCCCAGCCCCACACTCACCCGCAGCACCAGGGTGAGGTGCAGGCGGCTGTTGGGCGCTGCGTGCTGCAGTGCAAAGGGCTCCTGCAGGGTCAGCTCTGGGGCAGAGAGCAACCGAGAGAGGGGCAGGGAGAGAGAGCCCAGGGGGGTCTGCCGGGGGTCATCCTTCACCTGGGGACACGGGGGGGGTCATGGGGGTGAAGAGGGGTATGGGGGGAAATGGGGTATGGGGGCTCGTGGGGATCCGGCTGGGAATAGGGAGAAATACGGGGCTGTAGGAGGAGTGGGGGAGAATGGGGGGGGTTATGGGGCACAGGGGGCTGTGGAAGGGAATGGGGAACTATGGGAGAAAATGGGGGGCATGGGGGATATGGGAGAACAGCGGGGTATGGAGGAACTGTGGGGGGAAATACGGAGGATGGGGGCACAGAGGGGACGCAGGGGGGGATTTGTTCCAGGGGCGCAGATGGGGGGGGGGGGGCAATGCGTGTGGGGCTGGGAGGGGGGGGGTCTTGCCTGGATGTCCAGGTCCTGGTGTGCAGGGTCATGCAGGAAGAAGCGGAAGGCGTCCTCCCACACCGGGTGCCGGGTGCCGTACACCACCTATGGGGGGTGGGGGGCAGCGATGAGAGCAGCCCCCCCTGCGCCCCCCAGGCACCGCTGTGCGCCCCCCCCCCCCCCCCCCACCTTGCTCTCTCGGGTCACATCCTGCACAGACACCTGCACCACCGGGTTGGGCTCCTTCCCGGGTTTCTTCACCTGAGCAGAAAGGGGGGGGGGGGGGGGGGGGTCAGGGGGCAGCAGGCGCCCCCTCTCTGCCCACCCCCCCATTCCCAGGACCCCCCCTTACCGGCAGCTCCTCGGCGCGGTCCAGGTAAACCACCAGGATGGCGGCTGACGGGGGGTCGGGGTTGGATGGGATCTTGCGGTTCCTCTGCAGAACCTGAAGGCGATGGGGGGGAATTGAGCGGGACGGAGCCCCCCCTGCCCCCCCCCCCACATCAGCCCCTCACCTGCTCCAGTTTGGAGGCATCAGGCAGCAATGTCAGCCACTCCAAGCGCAGGTGCAGCCGCCCCCTGCCTCCATCCTGCAGTGGGAACCACTGTGGAGACAGCGGGGGTCAGCACAGCCCCCCCCTTTTCACCTCACCCCCCCCAGCCCCCAGCTCACCTCCTCCAGCACCCGAGCCTTCAGCACCTCCCCAAAGTCCAGCTTCATCCTGGGGGGGGGGGGGGGGGGTCAGTTGTGAGCTTGGGGGCTGCGACCCCAGTGTTCCCACATGGGGGCTGTGATGCGACAGGGGGGCTCTGACCCTGATGTGTCCCCCCCCCCCCCCCCCCCCCCAGGGGGCTGTGACCCCAATGTTCCCATATAAGGGCATTAACCCCAATGCCCCCCCAAGGACCGTGACCCCAGTGTTCTCCTATGAGGGCTTTGATGCCAATGCTCCCCGCCGGGGGGCTCTGGCCTCGATGCCCCCCAGCAGCTGTGACTCCAATGCCCCCCCACCCCCCCCCGGAGCTGTGACCCCCACCTGCCCAGCAGGTCGTCCTGGTCGGGGTCTTTATCAAAGAGCTCCACCTCGATCTCCTGCCCCGGCACCTCGTGCACGATGAACTGCAGGAGGGGTTCAGCGCGGTGCCCACCAGCCACCAAGAGGGGGGGTCCCGGGGGGGTGCAGGGGGTCCCGGGGATGCCCACCTCGTACACCTCATCCCAGGTGGGGCTGAGCTCGCTGTGCACCACGCGGCTGCTCGCCACCTGCGTGCCCACGCGCAGCACCGCGTAGGGGTCCGACTTCCCCTCCACCAACCCCCCCATGAAGCGATCCTTGCTGCGCAGCTCCCGCGCTCCAAACAGATGCACGCGCACCACACCCTGCAGATGGGGGGGGAGAGGGGGGGTCAGATGGGGTCTGCGCACCTTGAATCTGCGCTCCGTGCCCCCCCCCATCACCACTGCAGACCCCCCCCCCCCCCATACCCTGGGGAGGGGGCAGCGCAGCCGGGCGACGTCGTGCAGGTTGGGCACCAGCGGCACCAGGAGGCGGTTGGGCAGCACCAGGTAGGAGGAGATGGTGTCCATGATCATCGTGTCCGACATGGAGCTGGGAGGGGGGGGACGCGGGGGGGCGGGGGCGTCAGTGTGGTGCTGTGGGGCTGAGAGCCCCCCGCGTGCTATGGGGCTCACCTGAGCCCCGGGATATCCAGCAGGTTGGTCATCCCCGTCCAGTTGATGTCCAAAGTCTGGGGGTGGGGGGTGTGAGAGAGATGGGGGGGGTGGTCAGAGAGGTGGGGGGGGTCCATATTGGGGTGGGGGGGCGCAAGGAGGGCACTCACTGGGCGCCGGATGAAGAACATGGTGAGGGCCCCCACGATGGGCACATCGCCCAGCAGCGGCTCCAGGATGACCCGCAGCGTCCCATGGAGCTGGGAGGAGGGGATTGGGGGGGGGGGGGGGCACTTCTCAGCGCTGCCCCCCCCCCCCCACAACGTGCCCCCAGAGCTGCCCCCCCCTCACCTGCATGCCCTTCACCCCCGCCTTGCAGAAGAACTTCTTCACCTCCACGTCGATCTGCACATCACCCACGTAGCTGTGGGGGAGGGGATGCTGCCGGGGGGGTTCTGGCCATAGCGGGACCCCCCCATAGAGTGTGTGTGGGGGGGGGGGTCAGCCGCTCACCTGATGTTGAGGTCCAGCAGGATCTGCTGCTTGTGGGTACCAGGATGTGCCCGGACCCCCAGCACACGGAGAGGCTGTGGGGACAGCAGTGAGGAGGGGGGGGCACTGAGAGTGGGACGCAGAGTGGGAGTGGGGCGACCCCCGGGGGGGCTCTGGGGGGGGGGTACCTTCTCGCCCATGTCCACCCTGGTGAAGGTGAAGGTCTGCAGGTGGGTGTTGGAGGCGCGGATGGAGGGCGCGATGCTCTCCACCAACAGCTTCTCCATGTAGCGCCCAAAGAACGGCCACGTCTGTGCCAGGATCTGCAGCAGACGGACAGACGGACAGAGGGAAGGATGAGCGGACAGAGAGATGGACGGAGAGAGGGATGGGGGGAGAATGGGCAGGGAAGCAGGGGGGTGGATGGATGGGTCAGGGATGGACGGACAGAGAGAATGGGCAGGGAGACAGACGGACAAGCAGACTGAGAGAGCTGGACGGACGGACAGCGCGATGGACAGAGCGATGGGTGGACAGACAGTGGAAAAGGCGGATGGACAGAAGGATGCAGGGGCTGGCAGGGGGACGGACGGGCGGACGGTTGGACTCCTCACCTTGTTCAGCCATTCTGCCCTCTCCACATCTGGAAAGTTCACCTGCGGGGTGGGGGGGCGTCACGAGGCCTCAGGGTGGGCGCCTGCAGCCCCGCCCACCGCCGCCCGACCCCCGCAGCCCCGAGCAGCCTCGGCTTCTCCCCCCGCGCCCCCTCCGCGGAGAGCCGGGCCGGCGGAGCCGCGCAGCTGTGACCGACATCTGGCAGCGCCGCACGAGGGGCCCGAGCTGGGGGGGCACCGGGCCGTCACTCTCACTCCCCGCTACGCAGGGTTCGCCCAGGCAGGAAACGACCCCCCCGGGCGCGGCGATCCAGGGCGCGGCCGGAAGCCCCGGGCTCCAACAGGAGGGGCCCCCCCGGCTTCACCTCATTGCGGAGCGGTGCGGGGGGAAGGGGGGGGGGGAGCTGCAATGCGGCGGGGAGCCCGAGCCGAGAGCGGCCGTGGCGGGGTGCGTCGATCCCCCCCCGGGCACCGCTTACCCACGCCGGCAGTTCCCCGCGGGCCGCTCCCAGCCCCGCGGCGGCGGAGCGCACGGCCGCTTCCTCGTCGCTATGCAGGCGCGCGGCCAGGCTGAACGCGCGCTGCCGGGCGCGCCGCCGCCGCCTCCATCCCGCGTAAAGCGCCAACGCCAGCAGCAGCGCGCCCGCGCCCAGCCCCAGCAGCCCCGCGGCGTAGGCGGGCAGCGCCCAAAGCAGCCGCCGCCCCACGGCCGCCGCCGCCGCTGCCCCCGCGCCGCGCCGCTCCATCCCGGCGCGCTCCTCCGCTCCGCGCCGCCGGCCCCGCCCACCCCGAGGGCTCGGCCCCGCCCCCTTTTCCCGGCCACGCCCCGGGCGTAGCCGCGCGGCGCCGAGCCCCGCCCCCTCGCTGCCCATTGGCTGGGGGCGAGAAGGGGCGTGGCCATCGGCGCGGCCCCGCGCCCACGCGGTTTGGCCTTTTTAGGAGCGGCCGATGCTTCCCCCCCCCCCCCAACCTCCCCCCCCAGGGACCTCACGGCCCCTCCCGCCCCGCCCCGCTCCCTCGGGACCAACCCGGCGCCGTTGAGCCCGCGGGACGCTGCGGGCACCGGCACGTGGTGGGACGCCGCCTGGAGTCATTGCGTTTAATGGCTGAAAACGTTACACGGAACGCGGAGGGGGGTGGGGCTGCGCTGAGGGTCCTGGTGCTGCGCCCCCCGCCCCCCTCCGGGCACAGCCCCAAGATTGAGCCAGAAAAAGTTCCTGCAGTTTGTCCTTCTGTCCCAGAGTTTTCCCTGTCCCATGCCAGGGGCTGCAGAGAGGGCGGAGGCACCGGCTGCCCCCACACCATTCATCCCTCATCTCTGAACCCACCGCCACACGGATCGAGGCCAGGAGGAAAAGCCCCTTCCTCCATCCCCAACCGGGATGCGAAGGTCCCGAGGGCTCCTGAGGGTTCCTCAGTTCTGCATCGCTCAGCCCCCGAAGTTGGAGGCAAAGGTGTGGGCAGGGGTGGGGGGCCGTCAGTGCGGCATGGCCGTTATCCGCATGCTCTGCGAGGCAATGGGGTACGTCACCATCGGGGTGGTGGCGTGGCTCATGGTGATGCCTCCCAGCGGCTGCGCCATCGACACGGCCACCGGAGCCACCGAAACGGCCACCGGGGCCATGGAGACCGGGGGAGCCATGCCCTGGGCAATGGTCTGTGCCAGGGCGGCCGAGAGAGGGGTGATTTCGGGGTTCATAGGGGGGGCGGCGTTGGCCGGGGGTGCCGCCTGGGCGCCGGCAGGCGCCACCAAATCCTGCTGGGAGACGGGCCGGGGCTGCAAGGCCTGGCTGCTGAGCGTGGTGTGGGTCTGCGCGATGCTGTGGTTGTAATTGGTGACGGTGCCCACGGTGGGGGCCAGAGTCTGCTCGGTGGCCGTGGCCGTGGAGCTCAGCGTCATCACCTTGGCCTGGTTGCGGAACTGGGCGTTCTGCTCCAAGAGCACCTCGTTGGTCGCCATCAGGTTGTTCACCTGCTTCTTGAGGTCCTCCACGCGCTTCCGCAGCATGATGTTCTCCTCTTCCAGCAGCCGGTACTCCACTGTCCGCGGGTTGGCGAAGCTGTACTCGTAGGTCTCAAAGGACAGCCCGTCCACCCGCCGCCGCTTCAGCAGGGGCTCGTGGTCGTCGTAGCGGTCGCCGTCATATATGGCATCGTAGGGGTCGTAGCGGCGCACGGCGGCCACCATTCCCGGCTCCCGGGAGGCCATGCCCCGCGCCTCGTACTCGTAGTCCCGCTGCAGGTGCTGGAACTTACACTTGGCACCCCGCTGACAGTCGCCCTTCAAGAAGTCCCTGCAGATGGGCACCTCCTCCTTGCTGTTGGGCAGGTCGGCGGGTGAGAGGCCAAGTCCCGCCGCCACCTTCTGCCGCAGGCGCGGGGGCAGCTCGCCCGTCTTCTTGTAGCAGTCCTCATCCTCCTTGGTGCCATGGATGAAGCGGCAGTTCAGGCGCACGCATTCCTTGTTCTGGAAGTCGTGGCAGAAGATGAATTCGTTCTTGCGCACGCCCAGGTTGGTCACCTCGCTGATGTCGGGGTGCCGGAAGCGGCAGCGCTTCCCCCGCTTGCAGACGTTGCGCAGGAAATCGCGGCAGATATCATCAGCGTCGGCACCCGCCTCATCGCCGCCGCTGTTGCTGTAGCCGTCCCGGTCGGGCATCTTTGCCGCCGCGGGGGCGCTGCGAAAGGAAGGAGAGCGGCGAGGATGAGGAACCGAGCCCGGGACGCGGAGATACCGGGAAGCGCGGCCGCGGGTGAGGGGCGGCCCGGGCCCGCAGTCGGAGCTCGGAGGCGCGGGGCCCACAGAGCCCGAGACGGCCCCGCAGGAGCCGGGCCGGGTCCCGAGCGCTGCGGGCGAGGGAAGGGAGCGCACCGCCCCCGCGAGATCTCCATAGGAACCGTCTGCAGGCCCGGGAAAGGCCCGAGGGAGGCCCGGCGGTGTGGCCTGCGGCGGGGCCCGGCCTGGAGCGGGACGGAGCGGATGTGACCGATCCCGTGGCCCCGGCCCAGCTCGGCCCGGCCCGCCGCGGCCCCCCGCGCCCTCCGCAGCCCCGCACTCACCCGCTCGCGGCCTCCTCGCGAGTTCTCCAGTGCCAACAATGAGCGGTCCCTTCCGGCCGCCGCTCTGCGCCGGGCAGGAAGTGCTCTATGCTGCTTCCGGGGCACCCCGGAAGAAACTGCCCGCTTCCTCCCCGCGTCACGCGCGCACGGTCGGAGCGCTTCTTCCGGGTTCGTGACGTCATAAGAGCGCGCCGCCATAGCCGCGACCCGCCGACGGTCTCAGCCCCACGGGTTCCCTGCACCACCCCGGGCCCATCCCGGTACCGGCACGGAACAGCCCGCTGCCCCCGCAACTGCAGCCCCGCGTCTCGGAGACGCGAGCTGAGCCGTCCCTCCCCCGGCCCGCTGCTCGTCCCGGTGCAGCTCCCTCCCAACCGGCGCTCCGCGGGCACCGCGCTGGGCCGCAGCCCCGAGCAAAGCACCAAAGGCGTCCGAAAACATCTCCAACTTTATTGGCGGCGCTACAGAGCCCGGCCCGTTGCGGCGGGACGGGACCCCACCACGGCCCCGCGGCGCTGGGGCGGCTCCTCGCTCCTCCACGAGCGGCCCGGTCCGGTCCCAGCACTACTTGGACCTCTGTCGCATCTTCCTCCTCTTGCGCTTCAGCCTAAGGGACAGAGCGGCGTCACAGCCCGGGACCGCGCCGACAGCCCTGGAGCGGCCGCCGTTCCCGGCTCCGGCCGCGGTCCCGCGGGCAGCGCTCACACGTACCTGCGCATTCGCTTCTTGCGCCACTGCAGAGGGAGAAGAGCAGCGGGTGAGTGATGCGGCCCGCGGCGGCCCCGCGTCACAGCCCGTTTCCACTGGGAGTCCCCGCTGCCCCGCTCCGTGCCGGCATCCCCGCGGCCTCAGCTCACTCCCCGGCCCCGCCCCGCGGCCCCCCCTGTGCCCCGCGCACCGCCGGACCCTCGGCTCCCGTTCCACGACCCCACGGGGAGCTCCCCACACCCTCGGCGCCCGCAGCCCCGGCCCCGCGTAGGCCTCTCCAGACCCGCCCGCCGCTGGGGACGCGGATCGTTTCCGGGCGCCATCCGTCTTCCCCCGCCGCTCACCTTGGCCCTCATGGCGGCGCGCTCGCGCCGCGCTTAGACTCGGTGCGGCGCCGCTGGCGGCGGATGGAAGCGGATGGCAGCGGCCACCAGCAGCCGTTAAGATGGCGGCAGCAGCGGCCGAGAGAAACAGTGCCGCCCGCCGCGGCCTATTTATAGGGCCGAGCCTGCGGCCGCGCCCTCTCCGCGCACGTCATGCCGGGAGCCGTAGTCGCCCCTCCCCGCGGCATGCCGGGAGTTGTAGTCCCGAGCCCGGCCGCCATTTTGCACAGCGCTGCCCTTCCCGGCCCGGGGCGCGGCGCACCGAAGCCCCCCGCCCCAATGAGCAGAGCCACGTCTCCGTGCAAAGAGGTGCCACGAGTCAGCTTTATTTGGAAAACGGCGTCGGTTACAGAGTTCTTCTCGGGAGCTTTCGCTTTTCAAAATCTTAAACGAGCGGGTTTTCTGTTTCTTGTATCAAGAGGTACAGCACGTAAAAATCGGAAATTAAATAAACCTGCAGCAAGTCTCGGTGGTTTACAATGCGCCGACAGAACATTGCTTAAAAACACCCAGGCGCCCCGGGGCCGAGCGCGGCGTGGCGCCGTTCGACTCGACGGCGGCTGCGTCCGGGCCGCAGCACGGGGCGCTGCCTGCGGGACCTGCGGCGCTCCGCCCGAGTTGGGCCGCGGCTGGGCGGCCGCGAAGGAAAGGAAAAGCCGTCCGCGTCCAACCGCATTGAACTCGACGTTTGTTGGTGGCGTTTTTTCCCCTCGGAAAATGCTTGCTGTACGACAGCGGTGCCCCCGGCTGCTCTCAGCCTGCATCCACCGGCTGGAGCATCGCCACCGCTCTCAGCGTTGGAACAGGCGAGCCCAGCAGCGCGGCGCGCAGCAGCTGCCTGCCGTCCGAGCGGCGCCGGGCACCGCCTGCTTCCTCGGGCGTTGGATTTAAAAACAAGCTCACCACAGCAATCTGTTTAAAAATAGAGTGTTTATAGGTAAACCAAGGCAGAGACAGGGCGCATAGACGGGACGGCCTACGGTCTCACCGGGGACACCGAATTTGCTGTTTTTCCCAATGATAAACGTACAATCTAAAGGTTAAAAGAGAGAGAAATGCTCTGCCTCGAGGTAGCGGACAGAGATCCTGCACGGCCGGGAGGAGCTGCCAGCTCTGCGGGCAGATCGCAAGCACAGATCGCTTTTCGGAGGGCATTATCAGCTTTTTTTCCTCCAAGAAAATCTGTAAAGGGAAAAATTAAAACCAAAACGAGGAGGAAGAAGAAAGCAGGCAGCTCTCCACGCTCCCTCTCACTGGGAATGGCTTAGTTGTTCACCTCTTTAACAAGTATGCGTAGTATAAAAGGTTAGAAAGATATAGACTAGCTTTTACTCCTGATTTTATTTTTTCTGCTTTCTTTTTTAAGTAGTCTGAAGTGGCAGAGAGAATCCTCCCTCCTTGGCAAAATCAATAGGAGCTGCTTGTAGGCAGTGGGACATCCGGCTGTTTGCCGTTCGGTTGTAAGAGACAAACAGCGCTGGATTTTGGTTCTGGTTGTTTTTCTGGGGGGGTTTTGTGTGTGTGTGTGAGAGCCGGGTGCTGGGGGAGCAGCAGGAGCTGCTCAGTCTCCGGCCTCGTTCTCTTCCGCCGTCTCT